TGTTACGAAATGGCATTTCTCAATTAGTCCCAAAACAAAGGAATGTCCTTACGTCAGGGGCGGCGCCAGGGGGTAACTTGGAGTTGCTATAGCAACTCCAACAATTGGCCTAGCAACGGCTTAGCAACCCCATTGTTTTGTTATGAAAATGTATCTATATCAGGGGTCATTGTAAGTTAAAGCGCAAACTGTTACTTGGCTAATGTTGTTATAATTCTCAGTATGTGAACACAGATCGAAAATGGAAAGATTTCTCACAAGTCAGCGTAAACGGCCGCGATCTCCAACGGAGCCGGTCCAGCCGGACAACCCTGTGTGTGTGTGTGTTTGTGTGTGTTTGTTTGTGTGTGTGTGTTTGTGTGTGTGTGTGTCTGTCTGTTTGCGGTGTGGTGATGAGGTTAAATGCCACAGCATGCCAGTTGAAACAGTGAACGATCGCTATTGTGTAAGCTTAGGGTGTAATGGTATTATACACACATATTGTAGGAGCACAGAAACAGTGTTCAAATTCTGCTTTTACAAACTTATTTTGGTTGTGCTTACCTTGCAAAGTAATGTTATAAGTGTCAAAGGAATGTTTTAATGTAAATATTAATGATAATATTGTAGCGTGTCCAAGTTAATAGTTATTTCAGTTATCAGATGTGCACAGTTTAGTACATTTGTAAAGTTATTTAGGTAATGTTGTTGGCGGGAGTTAGGGAGAGACCGCCCCTTCCAGGTGTGTGTGTGTGCGTTTTCCGGCGTGTGTGTAGGGAGTACGAGACGGTAGGAGTTGTGTTCGAGTGTGGGGAAAAGTCATAATGAGTGTTATACTATTGATTGGCTCTGTAAGGCGTGGCTGTGGCCGTCAATACCATAAAATAAAGAGAACGTTTTCAACATTGAAGGCTCGTAATCTGTGATCTTGAATAGCGGTGAACGCTATATGAACAGGCTCGTGCTTGGCCCACTGGTATTGTTTGTTTATTTATTTAGAAAATTAACTAGCAACGCTGTGCTGTCATATACAGATGGAGCATCTTATTTCAGACAGTTTGAAACGCGAGGGTCGTGATTGGTCCGTGATTGGTCCGTGATCGGCCCGTGATCGGTTCGTGATGAAGAGCTGGCCCCCAGTCTGACTTGATACCGCCCCCGTGATAAATACATTTAATTATTGTGAAGCCAGCTGCAATGGATCATTGATCCACCAGGGGGTGCAGTGGGGTTCCACACTGGAGCTCATGTGAAATCAACTTTGATACAGTAAGCTGGTTGTACAGTATGTCTGGTACTAATGTATAGCGGATCTTTGTTAAGATCCATATGTCACGGATAGGATCATAGTCTGTGCTAAATAAGACATGTAATCATTTACAAAACATCACCATGTTGTTATTTAACAAAATAATGTTGTTTAGTCGAAAAAAACGAACGAGAGGAAATGCAGCCGGCTCTCCCGATTTGTAATCCTAATTTAATCATCATCTTCACCACGATCATTTATGTTTATGTTCGCCGAATTGACATGAAATCACTGACAAATATGAATATTCTGTATTCAACTTCATTCAAACGATCAGGATCCCTGGGTGTTATTTTTCCCCACAATGACCAAGTCGCTGCAAATTATCCCGTTTATTACATGGCCACATTCTCAACAAAGTAACGACATGACTCCCAATCTTAATTGAAATGCTTTTATGGATTTAGAAAATGTTTTTATTGATTTAAAAAATAGTTGTATTGATTTAAATTGACATGCATGCGCTAAGAGAAATAGTCACTAGACACTTGACACAGTGGCTTTAGGCAAAGCAGAAAAAGAACACTCAAACCGAGAGATGAGTTATTGTTACAACGTGACTTCACTATTATTTAACAACTGTTTTTATTGGGTTCTTTTATTTGGGGTTAAGTATAGGTGAATTGCACTAATGTGGGAAGATCGTGATGTCTCCTCCGATCTGCTTTATGATATTCTTTCTCCCGCTGTGTCGATTGGGGGACCGCCGTGCTCTGTCTTCAATGTTCGACATCGCGTGAAACAGAGGATTTCGACATTCTGTATTCATTGCTTACTTCCTTAAACCTTTTCTCCTCCTTATCTCTTTCATGACTTTTTATTTAATGCTTTATAACAGCTGTAATAGTTCGTTTAGAAATCCTAGAAACACTTTTACGGCAGCTCTCATTTACGGTAACTCCTTCTGAAGTCATAGCTACCCACGTATAATATATAAACAAAGTCTTGGCTTTCAGAATATGAAACTTTTATTTCCAAAATCACACAATAAATACATTTGTGAAGCTTGTAAAGGGAAGATGACAGGCACCTCTCACTCGCAATCTGCTCCTCCGCAGCGCCGCCCCCTCCCTCCGGCTGAAATTATGAATGTACAGTAAGGCATATAGTAATCATAGATAACACGGCAGGGTCCGTTACAGTTTGTTTTCATCTGATTTCAAATAAACAAAGTCTTGGCTTTCAGAATATTAAACTTGTTTCGGCAAATTTAGATGATAAATACAACTATGAAGCTTGTAACGGCATAATTACTTAAGCGGACAACGGAGTAATTTAACATTACAGCAGGCATAACAACAGCCGGTGTTTATTTTATTATTATATATAGTCGTTATTCATTTGTTTTAAAGCTCAATAAGGAAGATTTAAACTTTCACACACGTTGACCGGCGAAAAACTCTGCCCGGTTCCCTCGGCCCCCACCACGTTGAATAAACAGAAGGCTGCTTTTGTGGAGGAAGTTACAGCGCTACGTACAGGCTCGGCCTATGCAGCTTTTTCCAGCGGTATCCATAAATCTCTTAATTTTGACCTCAAAGTGCACCAGATTGATGCATTTAACTTCAATATAAAGAAAAACATCTTCTGTTGTAACAACAATAACATTATAAATAGTAACATAGCTGAACATGGTATTGCACATTTAGCTTTCAGTGTTACTGACCTGAGTTGTTTTTATTACATGAATTAAGGTGACTGAGGCTTTTTAACATAGACTTTTCAGTGTCCCACATACCCACATACCGTTCACCATCCCCCACCCCCCTACTGTATGTTGATTTTTGACTTTGTTTGCCGACATGTAAATATGAATACCTGTTGTACCTTTCCGGGGCTAAGCCCATAGGACGATGCTCTGATGTCATCACCCTCGCACATTTGTCATATGTTTACAAAAAATGATGTTAACACTTTCTCGTTCTTAATATATCCTATATTTAGGGTCGATATGTCTTGAATTTACTTTAAAATAGCAGATCACTGTGACCGGATATAGTTTTTTCGGCTTAGTGAACGTGTGTCTCTCCCTCCGCGGCTCCTCCGTGCAGAGAGTTTGCAGCGGTGTGTGTCAGCAACGTGCAGTCAGGGGAGGCACGGATTGGCCGTCGGGAGAGTCGGGACTTATCCCTGGCCAGCTGTGAGTTCTGGAGAATCACAGAATGGCCGGACGCCAACGGCCCGGTTCGCTTACGGCCGACAACACCCCCCCCCCTTTGACAATTCACGAGCGTCTTACTCTCCCCCCCCCCCCCCCCCCCCCCCCCCCCCCCCCGTCGCACCTACTAACAGAGCCCCCCCACATATCAAATCCCAATTGAACCCCTGGCCTCTGGAGCAGAAATGAAAGAGTTTTAAAAATGTTTACGTTTTGGTACGTTTTTAGGGAAATGTTGTAATATTGCAACGTTGGCCTTAGGTGGGAGCAGAATTTCTGTATTTCTACTCACATTGTCTGAATAAATATATTGAACAACTAAGGGTTAATTTGCAGGATTGATTGCATACTTAGCCCTATATCAGTATATAGCATGAATAATAATCACACATCACTCATATTTGTTATGAATAATCATTTATCATTTATTAAATAGTAAGTCGCTTTGGATAAAAGCATCAGCTAAATGCAATTTATGAAAGCCTCACTCAGGATTTTTTTACCAAGTGTTTTTATTGCTCTTGGGGCATTAAAAACAAGATTTTAACTTTAGTTTTTTATATAATATCTGCATTTTCTCTTGTGAAAAACTAAGTCTTAGTTTGGCCATAGTTATTTAATATATAAAGACTATATATTATTGAATTACAAGATTAGATATACTTCATTTGATCTAAAATATTGATGTGTTCAAATGGTCTTCTAAACAAAACTGAAAGTCAATGAAAAGCTGTCTTCCTGTTTTTGTGAAGGAAGCGCCATCTCCTGGTTAAATCCTGAAATTGAAAATCTGGCAACGCCCTCTTGGAAAATAGTGGGAGGGCTTAACATTCCCAGATACTGGTCTTTGGCAGGTTTTAGGCAGGTAACTGGCAGGTAGTAGGCAGGAAGCAGTAAGCTGGAGTCTGAAATAAGATGCTCCATCTGTAGATCCTGCGAAGTCATCTGCAACTTCAGTCATAATTTAAGGATTTAAAAACACAGATTTTAATTTGTCTCTGCCACCATAAATCCCCTCAAACCATTTTAGAATATGAGGGTGAAATACAAAAAAAATTGGTATTGTAACAGAATAAAATGTAATTTGTTACAGGTTTTTTTAGGTTTGGGATTACACATTTGAGGATGAATATAACTAGGTATTTACCTAACCTATGCAAGTAGTATGGTTGCCTAAACATAACACATGTATGGATATTTCACATGAAAAGCTTTTAAAATGAAGGTACAACGTTTTTACAGGAAGTAGTACATTTGCCATTAAATCAAAATGTGTTTGCAAGCCAAAGCGTGTTTGAAGAAGAGGAAAAATAACATCACCCTAGCAGCCTGAGCATCTTGAGATTCCAGGTTTGTGGCTACGCTGGTTTCATGTCACTCCGATGTGTTTGTACCTGCTGATCTGAAAGGTTTTGTCAATCAGCACCATCTAGTGGAGAGCTAGTAGAACTTCATCACCTCCATCACCTCTCACCTTGACTGGTTCTTCTTCCCGTTGGACCTGTTCTCACGTCACTCTGATGTGTTTGTATACTCTAAAGTTATGAGGGAGTGACGGCGTCCTCAGATCAGATGCAGACAGACACAGGACTGAAGAGGAAGAGATGAGCAGAGTTTCCTCCACACACGCAGCTAAATTGACCAGAAGGGAATTCAGCAGGTGAGAATATGATTTAGATACTTTTTTAGTTTGTAAGTTTGTTAGGTCCATTATTATACATTTGGGGATAGATACAACCAATAAATTACTTGACCTAATTACACTTAATCTGTAAATGTTTGATCATCAGGGTCACTCTGATCACATTGTGCTGTATCACTGTTTAACTGGTCAGAATAAATGTGTCTTGATGCTGATTCTATAAATATATTCCAAAGTATCGTGGAGAATTTGCCTCTGAATTAAAGACAAATGTTTTTAGAAAGACTTCCTTGTAATGGCGACAGTTCTGATTGTAATCTGAGTTCATATCTTCAGTGAAAAATGCAGGGAGTTTCTGATGCGGTCTAAAAACTCAGATCAACATGACTGACATGTTTGTTTGTTTTTTAATGTTTTAAAATTGAAACATAGTAGACGTGATATAATACCTGATATAAATGTAATATAATGTGTCCGATCAGGCACACATGCACGTGATCCACGCTGCTTCATCATGTGTTAGTGCTGAGCTTTATTTCATTAGAGGGTCCGTTAGCACCACCTAGTGGACAGCTGGTAGAACTACATCACCTCTCACTGACTGGGTTTCTGACTGACGAGGAAGAGTTTCCTCCTCATATGAAGCTGTCTCAATTGACCTGAAGGGAATTCAGCAGGTGATAATAAGATAGAGATGCTTTTTTATTTGAGATTATACATTTGTGGATAATTCCAACCAAGAAGTAACCTAACCTGACAAAGTATTTTTGTTTCTTAAAACTCAGTTCATCAGGTGAGAATCCTACCAGATGAATCTGTAGATGTTTGATCATCAGGATCACTTTGATTAAATTGTTCTGTATCACCATTTAAATGGACAGGACTAATGTTTCCTGATGCTGATTCTATAAATCTATTCTGAAGTATTTTGGAGAACGTCTCTCGGAGTTAAAGAATGATTTTAGAAAGACTTCCTTGTAATGGTGCCAGCAGCTTTTGGCAGCAGTTTGATTTTAATCTGAGATATCATCAGCAGTGAAAAATGCAGGCAGTGACTGATCCGGTCCAACAGCTCCGATCAACGTGACTGGAGGCTGTGGCTCAGTGAATAGTGTGATGGACTTCAAATTAGGGGATAGCAAGTTCGAGTCCCACTGCAGTCAGCATGTCGTTGTGTCCCTGGGCAGACACTTCACCCCAAATTGCTCCTGTGGGGATTGGCCACAGTACTAATAATAGTAACAAAGCGACTTACATACATAACTAGTAATAGTAATGTATGTAAGTCGCTTTGGATAAAAGCGTCTAACAAATGACATGTAATGTAACGTGACTGACATGTTTTATAAAAGAAAAAGTTCAACATTGAAGAGTAAACATAGCAGAAGTGATATAACACCTTTGTGGTCTCTCCACATTCACTGCGTGTTTAGGGTCTTCATGCCTTTACTGATACTGCAGTCAGAGACGCTCCAGTGGAGTCTCATGTTAGCTGGACTTTGTATTTGAAACTGTATGATGGAGCATTGAGTTTTCTGATGGGATGTTTGTGATAGCATGAGATATGTTAGTGGAGGGGTCCGTCTTCTGTTCTCAGCGTCTGAACTGCAGCATCGTAACTTAAAATGACAGCAGCACTGATCCAGGTTTTCTGTACCTGTCCAAGTCTGTTTGCTGTCCTTGTCAGAAATAACAGATCGACCAATTAGAATCCAACATTTAGCTTGGCTATGTAACAAAGAGAATGATTTCCTCTCACGCAGTATGTACTTGATACCTGTTTGTTGTCTGAAGTCTCTGCGCTGTGTTCAAGTACAACTATTTTGGCCAAAATGCTGGAAATGCGGGGTTCTGTCAAATGTACATTTGATGTTGGTTTCGTGGGAAATGGATCCCACACTGATCTAGACTTCATTAGAGGGTCCGTTAGCTCCACCTAGTGCACAGCTAGTAGAACTACATCACCTCTCACACTGACTGGGTTTCCGACTGATGAGGAAGAAATGAGCAGAGTTTCCTCCTCACATGAAGGTGTCTGAGTTTACCTGAAGGGAATTCAGCAGGTGAAGATATAATTGAAATGCCTTTTTTATTTGAGATACATATTACCAAGTTGTAACCTAACATGACAACGTAGCTTTGTTTCCTAAAGATCAGTTCATTGATGAGAATCCTACCAGAGGAATCTCTAAATGTTTGATCATCAGGATCACTTTGATTCAATTGTTCTGTATCACTGTTTAACAGTAAAAATGTTTATTGATGCTGATTCTATATATCTATTCGTTTAAGTATTGTGTAGAAATCCCCTTAAGGTTAAAGAAGAATGTTGTAAAAAAAGACTTCCTTGCAATGGTGACAGTTTTTGGCAGCAGTTTGATTGTAATCTGAGTTCTTATCATCTGTGAAAAATGAAGGGAGTGTCAAAACCAGTCAATCAGCTCCGTTTAACATGACTGAGGCGCTTCAATCTTTTTTGTATCTTTTAAAAGTTAACATACCAGGTATGTTATAAAACCTTCTTTGTGTGTCTTCATATTCAGAGACCAATCAACCAACAGTCCAGTACATCAAGAAGAAGACGAATGAAGATCTGTCTCCAGAGAGAAGCATCAACCTGTTCCACTGTCTGAATGAACTGAATGATCGTTCTCTAGTGGAGCAGATCCAACAGTCCCTGAGTTCAGGAAGTCTCTCCACAGATAGTCTCTCTCCTGCTCAGTGGTCAGCTCTGGTCTTCATCTTACTGTCATCAGGAGAAGATCTGGATATGTTTGACCTGAAGAAATATTCTGCTTCAGAGGAGGGTCTTCTGGGGCTGCTGCCAGAGGTCAAAGCCTCCAACAAAGCTGTGTAAGTGGAATGGATGGAGGAATGGATTACGAACATTATCCAACTTGTTTATATGTCATAGATGAGAAATAATATATATATTTTGTATTTATTTTTAAACATCCTTCAGGCTGAGTAGCTGTAACCTGTCAGAGAAAAGCTGTGAAGCTCTGTCCTCAGTCCTCAGCTCCCAGTCCTCTAGTCTCAGAGATCTGGACCTGAGTAACAACGACCTGCAGGATTCAGGAGTGAAGAACCTGTGTGCTGGACTGAAGAGTCCACACTGTGAACTGGAAACTATTAGGTAGGTGTAAAATAGTTTAAAGTAAGGGTCCTCTGAGCTCTCTTTTTCATGTATTACTTGTTTTTTGGTCTGATGAAAATCCTCTTTCAGGCTGAGCGGCTGTAAGCTGTCAGAGAAAAGCTGTGAAGCTCTGTCCAAAGTCCTCAGCTCCAAGCCCTGTAGTCTGAGAGAGCTGGACCTGAGTAACAACGACCTGAAGGATTCAGGAGTGAAGAAGTTGTGTGATGGACTGAAGAGTCCACACTGTGAACTGAAAACTATTAGGTAGGTGTAAAATAGTTTAAAGTGGACCTATCATGCTATATTTGAATAATATAGTGTAGGACCATACCTATATAAGGCATATTTATACTTTTTTTTTTTCAAAATACCAAACAGATCATGCATTTTAGCCATGCCTCATTTCGCTCAATTTGAGCAATGTTAGCTCTGTTTTTGCAAGGGCTGATTCTGTGAGAACAGCACCATTTACAGGCCTGGCATATGTACTACAGCGTCTCCAGCGCTTTCGAACGGCAATGGCCGTGGCTGTCTCCTCCTGATTGGTGGAGTTGGCCCAATAGCCGTAGCGCCACCGTCCTGACGTCAGGACAGTGTTCAAATCTGGATCAGTTTTTATCAGATCCGTTGCAGCCCCTTTTTTAGAGATTTGGGTATGGAGGAAAATAGAGAGGGTTGTGTTTTCTGACACTTGGTGAGTTCCCTGGAACACCGGGGACACATATTCATGTATAAAAGACGTACAAAAGTGCATTTTGCATGATAGGTCCCCTTTAAAGTAAGGGTCCTCTGAGCTCTCTTTTTCATGTATTACTTATTTTTTGGTCTGATGAAAATCCTCTTTCAGGCTGAGCGGCTGTAAGCTGTCAGAGAAAAGCTGTGAAGCTCTGTCCAAAGTCCTCAGTTCCAAGCCCTGTAGTCTGAGAGAGCTGGACCTGAGTAACAACGACCTGAAGGATTCAGGAGTGAAGAACCTGTGTGCTGGACTGAAGAGTCCACACTGTGAACTGGAAACTATTAGGTAGGTGTAAAATAGTTTAACCTGTTAAGCCCTGAGCCTGTTTTTCAGGTCTCAGGCTCGAAAATGACATTCCCAGAACAAATGACCATATCTTCCCTTCTAAAAGGGTTAAATTAATAACGTTTTTTCTCAAAGTAATGATAAACCTGTGAGTTGGATGTATAAAAGTCAGAATCAATATAGATGTTTTTTATTTTAAAGAAAATTCAGATTTTACATAGTAAAAAACTGTAAATTATAGTGTCCGTCCAAAAATTATTTTTTACTTATAGTAAAAACTACCCTTGGATGATGGTAAGGTAGACTAAAAGCTTTAGGAATCCAAAGTACAACATATAATAAGTACCCTGTATCAAGATTGATGCAAAACAAGTGACATTTGACCTTTTTAGACAGGTTTAGCAAAATAAACTCCACCTCTGGGGTGATTTGGGTGGAAATGGGGGTTTTACTGTTTCTCTGGAACCCATTGGTCGATTTTGGTGATTGACATCTCTTTCTGACCATTATAGCCAATAGAATCGAAGGGGAATCTCCCCACTCACACACATGGTACAAAAAAAAGGTGGGGGCTTCGCGCATGCAGTTTTGCATCAGAGCGAACCTATCTCTAGCTCTGACATCTGGAAACGGAAAAGCAGTTTTATTGCTTATGGATTATCAGAAATCATTTCAAAGGGACACAGACACATTAGATTAACCTATGGATTAACTTCAGCAGCGTTTTTATGGTTTTAATGCCATTGAAGAGCACTTTTGACCAGACTATGACACAGGTAAACCATGTTAGCGTTTTTAGCTACCTCGCGCCATATGTTTTGATGTCTGTTTTTGTTTATAAAGTCGCTCATGGAGTGATAATGAGGGTACCCATCGATTCTGTGTCATCTCACGATGTGAAACGATGTGTTGGATGTGCAGAAAAGCTAAATAATAAGGTTTTGTGAGTGAGTTTCGGTGCAGTAATCTGTTAGCATTTTTCGCTCTTTCAGGCTGAGCGTCTGTAAGCTGTCAGAGAGAAGCTGTGAAGCTCTGTCCTCAGTCCTCAGCTCCCAGTCCTCTAGACTGAGAGATCTGGACCTGAGTAACAACGACCTGCAGGATTCAGGAGTGAAGAACCTGTGTGCTGGACTGGGGAGTCCACACTGTAAACTGGAAACTCTCAGGTCAGTATTCTGCAATTTATTTTGAGTTTACCCCTTACGATTGCATTGGATTAATATATTTAATTATTCAAATGACTTATTAAAGAGCCTCTTTGGACTAAGGGGCACCAATATTCAAGGGTTTTTGTGTTTTCACTACTCTAGACTTTCAGGTTAGATGAGAAGATTATTCCTTTTTTCACAGTAATTATTAATGCTGTTCTTAACTATTTATTTAAATGATGCAGCCCCAATGGGACGATATAAAGTTTTCACACGATATATTCCATATCACTCTGAAAAGCATATTGAAATAGGGTGTGTGTGTGTGTGTGTGTGTGTGTGTGTGTGTGTGTGTGTGTGTGTGTGTGTGTGTGTGTGTGTGTGTGTGTGTGTGTGTGTGTGTGTGTGTGTGTGTGTGTGTGTGTGTGTGTGTGTGTGTGTGTGTGTGTGTGTGTGTGTGTGTGTGTAGGCTCTCAGGTTGTCTGGTCACAAACAAAGGCTGTGCTTCTCTGACTTCGGCTCTGGTCTCCAACTCCTCCCATCTGAGAGAGCTGGACCTGAGCTACAACCATCCAGGAGACTCAGGAGAGAAGATGCTGTCTGTTCTACAGAAAGATCCAGACTGGACACTGCACACTCTCAAGTATGGACCGACAGACTGCATGAAGAACTTCTTGTTTCTCTTAATTCTGTCCAGAGAAGCTACAGAGCCTGAGTTAGGAAACGAACTGATGATACTGAAATATTTTAGAAACATCAACAACTTAATTCTCATTTACACAACAAACGCAATGAGAGTGTAGGGATGTTTATCTCTGTGTAGGTCCTGACTGTTCCTGTTGAACCCCATCCCCCCGCCCACGGGCAGAAAAACGCATCATCTGCAGGAAACAGCGTCTGAGGGCATCTTAATATTTAATAAACTATGAATGTTTTATATATCCATGTAACGGGAAGAAACTCAGCTAACTGATCCTTTTTTTTTTTTTTTTGCAAATAAACCTACAAAGCTAACGCTCAGCCTCTGAATTAGCCACGAGCGAAAAAATGCTAACAGCGGTTGCACAGAAAATCAATCATAACACCCTTATTACTTATCGTAGCTGCACATCCAACCCATCACAACACTTGGCGCTAGGTAGCTAAACGGCAATATGGCTTACCTTTGTCGTTGTCAGATCAAAAGTTGTCTTCAATGGCATTAAAACGTTAAAACGCTGCTGAAGGTGAATCCATAGGTTAATCTAATGTGTCTGTGTCACTTTGAAATTATTTCTGATAATCCATAAGCAATAAACCTAGTTTTCCGTTTTCAGATGTCAGAGCGTGAGATAGGTTCGCTCTGGGCAAAACTGCATGCGCGAAGCCCCCACGCCCATTTCCACCCAAATCACCCCAGAGGTGGAGTTTTATTTGCTAAACCTCTCTAAAAAGGTCAAATGTCACTTGTTTTGCATCAATCTTGATACAGGGTACTTATTATATGTTGTACTTTGGATTCCTAAAGCTTTTAGTCTACTAACCCATCATCCAACGGTAGTTTTCACTATAAGTAAAAAAGAATTTTTGGACGGATGTTCAATCTGAATTTTCTTTAAAATAAAAAACATCTATATTGATTCTGACTTTTCTACATCCAACTCACAGGTTTATCATTACTTTGAGAAAAAAGATTATTAATTTTCCCCTTTTAGAAGGGAAGATATGGTCATTTGTTCTGGGAATGTCATTTTCGAGCCTGAGACCTGAAAAACAGGGATGGGGTTCAACAGGTTAAACCTCAACAGTTACTAAATATGTTGATATTTTAATTTAAGCGCAGACACGAATGGCTTCCAGAAGATTCATCCGTAGTGATCCTTTGACCTTCATTCTAGCATCACCAGAAGGTTTAAACCTGTGTAGTTTAGGGACAAATCTCAACAACTTCTGCTAAATTGTGTTAAAATGTGTAACACACATGAGAACACCTGTTCATAAACATAAGATACAATCATGCAGATTCAAACTAGAAACCATCTCGCTGGATCCCTCAATTAGAACGTAACAATGGGGGCCAATGGCCCTTTCGACCTCCTTGCTCCGATTCAACCCATCTTCAAATTAATTTAGACTTTTCAATAATAACATTAAACATCTTTTCACCTTTTAGCGTATTGTAATCTCTGATAACTTAAAAATTATGCCTTAATATGACATTTGAAATGTTGACAGTCCTTTAACTGATTTGTGAAATGTCCTTGATCATTCAGACTGTTTCTTCTTCCAGGTTTGACCATTGTGGAGAGGACAGGTTAAAACCTGACCTGAGGAAATGTAAGTGTGGATTTAGGTTGATTATGATGACAAAACATTCAGTTGAGATATGTATTCATTATTACTGACAAGATTATATATATTATCACATTTATACAAATAAAGGAAAAAGCCTTCAGATAAACTGCTGCTGTGTTTTTCTCTGAACAGCTGATGTGTAGAGAAGCTCTGACTGGTCGCTGTTACTGGGAGGTCGAGTGGAGAGGAATTGTTCTTATATCAGTGACTTACAGAGGCATCAGCAGCAGAGGAGAGAGTGAAGACTGTACGTTTGGAGGGAATGATCAGTCCTGGAGTCTGAGATGCTCTGATAAAGGTTACTCTGTCAGGCACAATAAGACAATAACATACATCTCCTCCTCCTCCTCCTCCTCCCCCTCCTCCCCCTCCTCCTCCTCTTCTCCCTCCTCCTCCTCATCCTCCTCCTCCACCCCCTCCTCTGGTAGAGTAGCAGTGTATCTGGATCATCCTGCTGGCTCTCTCTCCTTCTACAGAGTCTCCTCTGACACACTGATCCACATCCACACCTTCAGAACCACATTCACTGAACCTCTGTATGCTGGGTTTGGGTTCTGGTCACATGACTCCTCAGTGTCTCTGTGTTCTCTGTACGAGGAGACCACTTCCAGTCCTGTTGTAATGTCCCTGGTCTCGGGGGGCATGGACATTACATGAGTGTAGCAAGAGATATCTTCTAGTCGTGTGGTTCAAATGTTGGTGGTGAGGCGGCTACACTTTGGTTGTGCCTTTACGTGGAGGAGCAGCATTTAGTTATAATGCTCCGTATATCTGCAAAAATTGCCTTGTTGATATGTGCTGTATAGATAAACTTTCTTTTACTGGCAGAAATGTTTCTTTTCTTTGTAAAATGGTGAAATGACCTCCTCGGGGCTGAACTTGTTGTGTACAAACTGCTGTGACATATATGCAGTTTAATAAAGCTTTCTTTAGAGCAGCATAATAGCTCCTAATAATCTCTGTAATAATCGTTATTAAATTCAATAAAGATTTGAAGACAAAATAATCTGTCAATGATCTCATGACTAAAGATATTTCTTTTGCATCCAACATTTTTTCTAAAGTGTGTATTGTTAGGGAATAATTTGCTTAGGTATTCAACCTTCGACACAGTTCATAATTTTCTCCTCTCACTGTCTCTTTCCCATGGCATAGGTCTACGGCCTGGGGTATTGCTGCTATCTCTCTTAAGGGGGAGCAGCTTGGGCGCATTGTTGTTGCCAGTCTATGACAGAGCACAAGCTGCCATGAGGTAGTTTACTGTTCAGGGACGTAGGTTCCCTGGCACACATTCTTTTCTATGGACGAGAGCTCTAGTAAGATTCAGGGTCCATTATTGTTTAGTCTCACTGATGAAGAATGTTGATTATTACACTCCGAACTAGTTAAAACCTCGAGCTACAGAAAGAGTTCTTCAGAATTGGTGTGTCAACTCGTGACACACCACCTCTCTTGTCAATTCTCTGGCTGTAACTCGTAATAAACCACCAGTGTTTGCCATCAAAGCTCCAGCTCTCCGCGTGCCTCTCTGAGTCCTGTTTCCAATTGCTTCAGAAGTTTCCCCCACAAATTGGCGTTGTCGGCAGAATACCAACAAATCTTCAGAACTGGTAAGTGTAATTTCAAATCCACATTTGGACATTGCCTTACCAGAATCTGTGATTGACGGTATCCTAAAATTACCTGTGAAACTGAGCGGTTGTGTTTCGTTTTTGGTTAGATGAACATTTGGGAATAGTAAACCCAGGAAATCAGTGTCTGGGGACTCTGTCCTGGCTGATTTTCTCTGTGTGTGCTGCTCGGGACGTATGTGCCATACAAACATGCACAGCTCACCTTAAAGAAAGGCATCAGTAAAGTGGAACTTCTGTGTGAAAGCAATGTAAAGATTTGTTGTGAACAAATCGCCAAATTTTGGGGGTTTCAGCGGCCAACACTAGCAGTTAGAAGAAGCAGCCAGAGATATTACCACTATCGCCTCTGTAAACACGGCTCCAGCTGCAGCGCGGGTTGTGTGTGTAAATACCTCCCCACATCTGTGTGGCTGGTGAAGTGCACTGAGAGGGAGAAAGTCACAGCCTTTGTCTATAGCTTTAACTCACACCACCGCCGTCTCTATTAAAAACGAGATGGTCTAAAAGCACTCTTGTTGTTTGTGACCGTCTTCTACGTGCTGGTAAGACGGGGCAGCGCGAGGTGCGTGCATTACCTGATGCGCCACAGTTCTCTACATTGCTGGAGGAACTGGTGCCGGTCCGGGGTGCAGACATTAAATTATAGGCTAATTGATCACGGGTGGGCAGTGGCATGCGAGTGTAGAACAAGACTGTGTTTCATCGTTGTGATGAACTCGATAGCGAGTGTATAGGCTGTTCCGTAGTGACTACAGTTAACTGTGCTGTTGTTGGAGAGAAACCCACTCTTTGGGTTGTTTTAATGCACTGATATCATGTGTGGCTCTGAGACGTGTACAGCCTTGCAGCTGCCTCTTTATGATAACAGAAGGCAGAGCATTTCAGGTTGTTGTTCTATTCTGAGGACACAGGCACATATTTGTTGTCTCCTATATTATCTCACATTGCTGGGAGTCCAGAAGTCGCAGATGACCCATCCAGTTGTCCCATCTTCCCGACACCTCGTTTTACGGCTTTGCTTTCCGTGTTTTGGACAATATAAGCCTGATGTTTTTTGCTGCTCCTTGTGTCATGTGTCCCATGTGTGGGAGTTAAACCATATCCTTTATATGTGATTTAACTCTGCTCCTTCTTGCAAGAATAAATTAGTACCTGATCATTGATTCTCAACCTGGTGTCGAGTGATATTTTTCGAACAGCGCTCCTGATCGGGGGGGCATAGCGCCACTAGAATAGAGTAGTGGTTGTCGCAAGAGGATAATCTAGTTATCGCTCTTGGACGGTCATCAGGCATCGATCTAAGGACTTGTATACAAGGGAAGCGCGAGTCAAGGCGCCCCACTGGAGATAATTCCCTACCCCCTCTGAAACCTCTTCATTCGGACTAAATTGAGCTGGATGAACTTTGCTGACGCACTGGTGTTTATTACGAGTTCATGTTTGTTTGTCTGATTGTTTGTATCGGGGGTCTATATTGGTTTGTCTAACCGCCGTCTTGTGTATGTTTTGTAACAACTAATAATGAATCAGTCCATAGCCAGGGTAAAATAAACTAAGCTTTAGTTAACTCACCAAAAGTAAATGACTTGAGAAAGATAAATAATATAAAGTGTTTTGCAAAATTCTGGTAGTATAGATGTGCTGCAAAATGAAAATAAATAGCAAAAGAGTGTTTGATGTCCTGCATCTGAGTGTGCAGAGGAACATGTAAACAAGAAGCACACTGTTCAGGGTGTGCGCTGTAGGTGTATGAAGAAAATAACATTATATTGCTTTAGATAGATAGATAGTACTTTATTGATCCCAAATTGGGAAATTGTTGTTGTTACAGCAGCATAAAAGGCATTTTACAATAAAACAAAACTACAAAATATACAAGAATAGAAAGAAAAATAAAATAAAATAAAATATAAAATATACATGTTAAAATAGAAAATATACATGCAGATATTATATATACAAATATATATATATATTCAAAATATATGACATTATGTAATATGGAGTATAAATATTGAACAGATTATATGAGTAAAATGTACAACGTACATAAATAAAGAATACATTTTAAAATAATTGTATTGCTGTTATGTTAAGATAATGTTTGTGACCTTGTATAAACCCTATGCCCCGTCCTGCACCCCGAGACCCTCAGAGGCATCACTGCTGGTCGTAAAGACCTGCCTGAGGAGGTCAGGGTGGCAAAATCTGTCTGCTGTTTTAGGTCAATGTTGTATTATTTGTTTCATTTATTCTTAATCTGTATTATATGGTAATAATAAAATAAAATAAACTTTATGTATTGAACACTTTCCGAAACAAAGCTGATAAGACAGAACTAGACTCAGACATAATACGAATTATTGTAGAAACATTTTGCGCTGTTGCTGCAAAATGGAAACTTTGTTGATTATCTGTTCCAACTGGCCACTGGATTCAGATAATTAATATAAGTTGAAGTTTAATTACAGTTTTAAATATAGTTTAACATTCTTTATTAAACTGCTTCAAATTATTTCTCCTATCAACCAATTTGGTCTCCATAGACATTACTAAAATGCAATTTGTTGTTAAACTACTGACTAGTTCTCTGAAACCGAGCTTATGAACAAAATAGTTTGGGTCGCTGGTTAAGCCAGGATCAATATATTTGTTGAAGTTTTTATTGTGTGCATAATAAATGTGTTAAATGAATTGAGCAATTATTTAAAAAGTATAATGTTGCAATCTCTTTCAAATAAGTAATTACAGTCAAAAGAAATATATGTTGTTTTCTAAGGGCCTCTCCTTCACAGCCCTACACTTTAAATCATGAGACTTTCAAATCACAACAAAATCACAAGATCGCGGCCACTCTAGTCAATAGGTGCGTTCACACCGGAGTACTTTGGTGTACTTTTCCCACAATAGTTCATCAGAACTACGATATATTTGCGTTCACACCAAAAAGCCCCAGGAACTAAAGTAGCTCAACTTAGTTCGCGAGACTCGCTTTTCAGTCCCTGCTACAGAGCAGGGTCTGTCGTGGGAGAAAGTAGTTCCTACGTCTGATTGGCTGTGCGGAATGCAAACCACGCCCGTTTGACTCAGAATTTTTTTGTTGTAAGCGGCCATTGTATTTCCTCGCTTCGCAGCACACACGAAGAGATTCCTTTTGTGAAAGCAGTTATTATAGCAACACTAAATAAATCAATTGGAGCGGTGGAGTGATGAGGATGAGGATGTGTCTGCGCTTCTGGCGATTGACTCGGAGGACGCGAAGCGCCACATTCAGAAGCTTCTACTGAAGTTTCTGTGGCTCTGCAAAGTTAGCAGACCTGGCAAAGTCATGTCGGGACGACTACCAAGGTAAAATAAAATACATGCACTGCACTGTTTTAATCTGCACAATACTGGTCTTAGATGTACTTTTATTTGCTCAGTAGATCGAGCTAGCCATGGTAGAACTTGCTAACGTTAGGTCCAAGCTGGCTAATAACATCTAGCTAGCTAGCTATTCTCATCCATGCCCGCTATGAACACGTTTTGACTTGTGAATAAGTGTGCAATGTTCTGTAATTTGCTTCACTAACTCATGGCACTAATCGTGTGTTTCAGGCGAGGTGTTTCTCTCAGGATTAGAAACTAGTTTTAAAACGTTAATATAACGTTAGCAATTAGCATGCTAGCTGGACCTCTGTGGCTACACTGAGGTAAACAATAGATTGTAGTTGCTCTAATTTCAAGTAATTTGCAACATTCATTCTACATGTTAATGGTAAAAGCTTAAACAGTTGA